GTTGGTGTGCTGTGGATCCACATTTGGGCGGTACATTGGTGTAGGGGGATAGAATCACCCGGTTATTCAGCGGCTCCTTCGGGGGTGAGTGCTACACACTTAATAAAGAAAATGCAATTTATTCAGACATCCCAACCTGCAAAACCTTATTTCAGGGAGGTTTCCGTCTCATTTCAGGGAGGTGCCCTTTCTTCCTATTTATGATACATACATCTGATAATATACATTCTAAAACTAATACTGGCCATTGCTAAACTGACCCATTTATGCAGAGTAAATAACACAGTTATTTTCTTTTGTACAATACTCTTCTGGCTTATTTATGAAATCTATAGAGGCCAATGACTCCCTCTAGTTGCCATGGAAACATGTGTAAGGCCATAATGAGTTAATGAAACATTCATGCAATATATTTAATCACTTCTTTTGTGCCATGCTTGTCAATGTCCCAAAATAAATATGATCTTGCCCTCTGTAAAATGTCCAGTGTACTTTGTAGTCAGGCAGAAATAGAGGATTTTTTAAAGCCTAATTGATTATTCAACCTAAATAAAGCTAAATACAGTACATGTGCATCAAAACAAAAGGTGCGCAAATCTGACAATGCATTTTCATTCTACAGCAGCCACAGCTGGGACCCTTTGTGAGGAAGCAGTGGTCTCTCTGCAGAGGTCCGTAATGCCCCCCTGCTGAGTCAGAGCCAGAGTTCACCAAATAGGAGGGAGCATGAGATTTGATGATTGCAGAGCTATAAGTCTGACTTAGTAGGTAGCATGTTGGACCTCTGCAATGAGACCACTGCTTCTCCACAGAGACTAAGGATTCCACTCTGCAGCTCCTGGCAGGGCACATACTTTTGAACCCAGGCTATGGTGCTTTAGAAATAAATTTGGAAGACTTTGCGCACCCTTTGTTTTGATGCATCTAGAACAGGGATGGGCAATTAATTTTCTGAAGGGGCCACATGAGAAACTGGGACTGCTGTGAAGGGCCGTACTGATTAACGCACGGTACTGCAAAACGCATCGACTGTGCACTACAGTGTGGCAGGTAAATTGCATTGCTATTAATTTGAATGGCACCACAAATGTACCTCCTGGCCCCAGTGCAATCGACTGCGCCACAATGTGTTGTACCGCTGAAAAAAGTGGCGCATGCAACGCAATGCACCTGCCACAATGTAATACAGAAACATGCAATTAACACATGACATAGGTGTGAACAAGCCCTGAATGAAGCCTTATTGTCCACACATAGTATGTGGCATATACTTGCTTATTATTTTTCTTGACAGGCCACAGGGGGGAGCCAGAAGGTGAAGCTACAGGAGAGTATGGATACCACCAGGAGCCTCAGGAGAAGCTGACACCCTACATTACGGATATCCTCCTGTAATGCTGGAGGCGGGAAGACATTTGTCAATGGTTATTAGGACTGCCCAGCGGTCCTAGCAACCAATGACTTCAGAGGAGGAGGACCCGAGATGTTACTGGTTGCTAGGATGCCAGCCGTCCTAGCAACCAACGGCGGAAAAGGAACACGGTCCGAACATGGACCGATCGCTGACCTGCCCTGGGCTATGGTTTGCAGTGGATGAACTGGCCTTGGAGGCCAACCATAACTGAGCACAGGCCAGCGTTCAATCTGTGTTTGGACCGTGGGCTGGACTGGTACAGACAACCCAGATAGCAAGCAATTGAGCTGCAAGTTTGAAAATGACTTGATAAAGTATTGCAGACTTGCCAAGCTTCACAATTTTGTTGCACAATTACAGCAAGTCTGCATTGCAATTCTCCAGATCAACGTGCTTTGCAAAAGTGCTGTACACTTGCAGAGCTCTTCCTAAGACTTGCAGGACTCTTGGGTGCTGTAGACTTGCCAAGCAAATCTGCTACAAATTCAAAAAGTGTCAACTAGAACTTGTGCTGCAAGTGTTCTGCAAGTCTACAACTTGCCAGGAATGTGTGCAGCAAGTTAAAAATAATTACAATTTCACCCTGCCACAAGTTTGTGGCAAGTTGTCCTTGCTATCTGGGAAAGGGTCTGATAAGGCCCGCAGGCCATGAAATGCCCAGGTCTGATTGAGAATGTATTTAGCTGATTTAGTGCTCATTCTCATCATGGCCACTGTTGTGTGCTATGTAAGCCTATGAAATGTCACAATCAGACTTAAGCCTGGTTCACACCTGAACGTTTTGTAGCGCGTTCAACGCTCGACTAACGCTCTACAAAACGCTCAAACATCTAAATCCCATTGTATTCAATGGGTATGGTTCACACCTTGCCGTATTTCCGCCCGTCCGAACGCGATACAAAACGGCCTACGCCCAAAGTAGTACATGTACTTCTTTGGGGCGTTTTGGTCTCGCGTTTCCATTGGGATACAGCCAAGTAGCCCTCGGAAACGGGCGTTTGTCGCATGTTTTTTTTACCGCGCGACACGAGACGCGCGACAAACGCGCATATTAAATACGCCTAGGTGTGAACCCAGCCTGACTGTACAATCTTACATTCTTTTCCAATCGCCATTAAATTATACATTTTTACATGCTACATGCTGTGTGTGATGACATTGCTTAAAGGAGAACTATGAGATGAGTGCTTTTCACTCACCTCATAGTTCTAGCCGACCTGTGACAATGAGACTGTCACAGGTCGGCTCAGTAGATCGGGAGGTGAGCGAACACATACCGGCGTTCGCTCACCTCTCGATCCTGTCACGGCTCTCTGCCGTGACAGAGGAGGGGCTGGATTCCCCCCCTCCCCGCTCCGATCCGCCAGCGCTGACTGGCGGAATGGACGGGGGAGGGGGCGGGTACAGCTGGCTCTGCCTCTAGATAGGCAGAGCCAGCTGTCAGTCACGCAGCTGGGCGGATCCAGACATAATTGTCAGGATCCGCTTCAGCTCGCGGTATACTGCAGCGTCTCAGTATACCACGAGCTACAGCTTGCAGTATACTGAGCCTAGGGTGACGGGAGGACGCTAGTTTGTGTCCTCCCGTTACCCTAAGGAGAACTATGGGGAAAAGCCTTAACCCCATATTTCTTCTTTAAAGACATTGTATTATAAATATAGATTGTTGTAAACACTGTACACTTACAACTGTGCCATATACTATACCATGTGCATGTATTCTGTAACCAGCAGATGTCAGTAACTTTGCAGTTACCCAAGGGTAAACTAGAGGATGCTAGGATGCTATGTTACCTGAGCATTGAGATATACTGTATGCTATACCTCTCCAGATAGCAGGGAGCATGAGATTTGCTGATTGCAGAGCTATAAGTCTGACTTAGTAGGTAACATGTTGAACCTCTGCAATGAGACCACTGCTTCTCCACCAAGGATTCCACTCTGCAGCTCCTGGCAGGGGACAGATTCTTGTACCCAGGCTGTGTCTGATTTAGGGCCCGTTTACACCAGCCACAGTGCATTCGGCCCGATTGCAGCCGGCTCACTTTGTTCTGCGGGAGGGGCGTGGCGGTCCATTGAACTCAATGGCACCGTAGCCGTGCCCTCTGGCCACAATGCGATCGGCCACATGGGAACGCAAGGCACATCAATGCCTGCGGTCCGGTCAGAAAAAAATGCTGCTTTTTTTTCTGATCGGAACACAAGCATTGATATGTCACGCGTTTCAGTGTGGCCGGTCGCATTGTGGCCAGAGGACGTGGCTGCGGTGCCATTCACTTCAGCCTCTTGTACAATGATGTAGATATACTGATAGCCTCTGGTACAATGATGTAGATATACCGATAGCCTCTTGTACAATGATGTAGATATACCGATAGCCTCTTGTACAATGATGTAGATATACCGATAGCCTCTTGTACAATGATGTAGATATACTGATAGCCTCTTGTACAATGATGTCGATATAATGATAGCCTCTTGTACAATGATGTCGATATAATGATAGCCTCTTGTACAATGATGTAGATATACTGATAGCCTCTTGTACAATGATGTAGATATACCGATAGCCTCTTGTACAATGATGTAGATATACCGATAGCCTCTTGTACAATGATGTAGATATACTGATAGCCTCTTGTACAATGATGTCGATATAATGATAGCCTCTTGTACAATGATGTCGATATAATGATAGCCTCTTGTACAATGATGTAGATATACTGATAGCCTCTTGTACAATGATGTAGATATACCGATAGCCTCTTGTACAATGATGTAGATATACCAATAGCCTCTTGTACAATGATGTAGATATGCAGATCGCCTCTTGTACAATGATATAGATATATAACTTTTATTATGGAAGAGTCCTCCTTGTATACTGATAGCCTCTTGTACTATGATATAGCTATATGACCTTTATTATGGAAGAGTCCTCCATGTAGACTGATAGCCTCTTGTACAATGAATGATATAGACATGCTGATAGCCTCTTGTACAACGATGTAGATATATAACTTTTATTATGGAAGAGTCCTCCATGTATGCTGATAGCCTCTTGTACAATGAATGATATACAGTAGATATACTGATAGCCTCTTGTACAATGATATAGACATGCAGATAGCCTTGTGTACAATGATATAGATATATATAACTTTTATTATGGAAGAGTCCTCCATGTATGCTGACAGCCTCTTGTACAATGAATGATATAGACATGCTGATAGCCTCTGGTACAATGATGTAGATATGCTGATAGCCTCTTGTACAATGATGTAGATATGCTGATAGCCTCTTGTACAATGATATAGATATATAACGTTTATTATGGAAGAGTCCTCCATGTATACTGATAGCCTCTGGCACAATGAATGATATGGATATGCTGAGAGCCTCTTGTACAATGATATAGACTTGTACGTTTTCTTCTAGTCACGTTACATGATGTATTAGGTGAGCAGCAGTCAGTTCAGTCACCTGAGTGCTGTACACCTGGGAGGAAGGAGGAGGTGCCCCGCCTCAGGACTCTGGGAGTGTACAGGTCTCCCTCCATTTCCTGTGGGTTGGGTCGTGCTGGAAAAGTGAGGAGGACGATAGAAGAAAGCTTTTCTTATCGGCCCATATGTGTGTATCGCCTGAGGGAGAGTGATAACGATGACAGCGATCCGAGGACAGCCACACAAGTGAGGTGACCTGTACATGGGCCGGGGGAGGACTGTATGTGGACTGATCTGTACGACCGACGGCCTGGATCATAGACACAGCGATGCTGCTGCTCCGAGGATTCCTCCTATGTGTCCTGCTTTCACACCTGACAGGTACCTGTATATAACTTGTATATAGCACATACAATAAGGCTTTTACCTAATAAGATCTCTTTCCCACAATAAATAGTGATGAGAGACGGATAGGTGCTGTGTACTCAGTGTACGGGTATGATATGGGTTCATTAACCCTTTCCCTGCCAAGCCCTGCATAGTGCTTTTAGACCTCAGCTGGCCACACCATTTTTCTCAATTTTACCCTTTTTAAAATTTTCTACTGCAGCTTTTAGTGTTTGTAAAAGACCCCCCAAACCATACATTTCCTGAAAGCACAGGCCCAGTAGAATCAAAAGATGGTGCTACTCATTTTGTAGGTCCTGCCATAATTGCGCAAATGTTTGTCAAATCAATATTGAACCGATTAAAGATACACAAATTGATGCAAACACACTACAATCAGTATCGGTGCACACAAAAAATACTTTTCCGACTAAATCTAATAGATAAAAACTGTATTGGGTAAATAACACACATTTGTACATTTTAAATTGTGCCTTTTTGCGAAACGGTAAAAAAACCAGTGAAGCAAAACTGTAAATAAGCAACGCATGTTAAAACTCTGTTGATGCCTGATCTGCAGTGCCGTTTGTGCGCTGTGTTGGTGTGTATGTTGTGATAAAATGATGCAGGTATATATTTAATTGCAACACACTGTATCACAACGCACAGCATCGCGTCACAACGCTTTGACACGCTACCTCACAGTTGAATTTAATGTTATTTAAAAAAAAAAAAAAAGCACAGCGATGTGTGCAGCACATGCGCATAACATACACCTGTGTGTGCGGTTGTGTGTTTCTCTTTTTATTTCGAATTCTTTTTAATTTTTTTTTTACTGTTGGGGGGGGGGGCTTCAGTGAAATACCAAGGGTCTAAACAGATCCCTGAGATTTTCTTTTTTTGAAATGGAAAAATAAATTTCAATCTCTTTTTCTGCAGCCCCTGTTCTGAATAAATAGAAAGCAGCTCAGTACAGAGGCTGCCCATTCATTCACAAACTGGAGATAGTATCCAGTTATGAATGGGTAGAATCCTCTGTACTGAGCTGCTTCTCTCCATTCAGGAACTCATGAACAGGAAGCGATGTAAAGCACTTCATGTTCATTCATAACTGGGAACACATAGTATGTCCCCAGTTGTTTACAAACACTAGAGTGATCAGCGATTAATACAGTGTTTGTGCTACACAGAGGATCGATAAATATTACAGATATTTGCTGATCCTCCACTCGGTCACGCACAGAGCCGCTCTCCAAACTGAAACTCTCTCCTCCGCGCTCAGCCATCCTGAATGTGACAGCCACCGGCTCTGCTCTTCTTCCTGCTCAGCCATCCTGGAATGACAGCAGCTCCCTCCTCTGCCCCCCCCCGGCTACTTTAGCAGTGTATTTGTCCTTGGACCCCTGCAGCTTCTGCTCATGTAGGTGGGAGGAGAGCAGCGGGGATCCAAGGGAAAACAGATCGGAGCGTGGAGTTGCTCCAGATGGGCAGATGGGGAGGAGAGGCTGCAAATTGCGTTGGCTGTCAGCAGCAGTGACGGCGGGTTGGGGGGCATAATTTTTGTGCTGCTGATAGCTATTAATTTACACGGGACCATCAGGGGGACCCTTCTGATATAAGTTCATGGTTGCTAAAGTGACCATGAGCTTATAGCAGAAGGCAGAACGCCACCGACCTAAGGCTTAGTGATGTGACCAGCTGGAAGGGGTTGTATTCCGCTGTAAGCCTTGCGTCCGTGGCAGGGAAAGGGCTAAAGTGACACTAAACCCAGGGGTTAAACCTTATTAAAACATTCAAGTACCTTTTAACTATTACCAAAAATGTATCTTATTTGTGTATCACTCAGCTGTAGATCCTGTGCTTCCTTCTGGAGGGTGGCTACTTTTATTCCCCATGGTCCCTGTGTTTGTTGTAAAGTAGTCACAGGTCCACGCTCACTCCTGTGATGGACTACAGTTTCAATACAAATAAAGTAAACTAAACATGAGATTGTAGTTCAGGGGTATTCAAACCTTGGCACTCCAGCTGTTGTGGAACTAGGAATCCCATGAGGCATTGCAAGACTGTGAAAGAAACGGGCATAACTCTGCAGAGGCATGATGTGATTTGTAATTTCACCACAGCTGGAGGGCTGTAGTCCATCACGGGAGCAATCTTGGAGCTGTGGCTACTTTACAACACTCGCAGTGACCCTGAAGCGATTATACCAAGAACTGTTGTAAACAGCTGGCGATGGCTGTACAGCCGCCCGATTGTTTGCACTGAGCAGTAGTGTGTGACCTCCCCATACTCCGCTGTTCCCCTTGTGGGCCTGGGATTGGCACAACGGGTCTCAGAGAGGGAGTTCAGCAAGCATCTAGCCACTGATCTCTCCTCCAATCATTGGACCTGTAGAAGAAGCTGGTGTTGCAGATTGCTGCTTTATCAGTTTCTTTGGGGTCTCCGTAAAGAGGACATGTCATCATATTTTCTTTTACACAGATGGGCTTGTTAACCCCGTATGTGATAACAATAAAGTTAAGTTTAAAAAAAAATAAAAAAAAAATGTAAGTAAAAAAAAGTTTAAAGTTCCACGCTCCCATATACACGCACATACAAAAGCAGACTTGCATCGGCTGCGCCTACGTGCAAAACGAAAATTGCGTCACACATGTTGCCTATCGCCGTGAGCGTCGGAGTGCTGGCAATAATTCTAGCGCCATCAATCACTGTTAACAATAAACTGATGAGCAGTAAAAGCTTTAAAATTATATTTTTGGGAAGCTACGGGGAAATTTGGGGTATTGTAGTATTTTTGCGGTTTTATGGGCGTACGCAATTTTAAGGCTCGACATGTTTTGCATCACTTTACCCGACGTGACCCCATCTTTTATATCTTTTAAAAAAATGGGTATTATCTTCTGTTTCTGTGCACTAAATTTCATTTGTGTTTTTTATCCCAAAAATACTGGTTTGAAAAACATTTGCGCAAATACCGTGCAACACATAAATCTGCAACTAGCAGTTTTTTATTCCACAGGTCCTCTGCTTTCAGAAAATATATAATTGTTTGGGGGGTTTAATCTGTTTTCTTGTCACGTGTGTGCAAATAGTAATTGTTGTGGGCAGCAAGTGGTTAAGAAAGGAGCCGATCAGTACATTGACTCAGGTTTGTGATGATGAGGAATATGCCAAATTTGAGCCGGCCTCCTATTGCTTATCTAGATCGGAATCTTTTGTTAGTCCACAAGTGACAACAAATTTGGACTTTGCCCATGACAAACAACGTACTAGGCTTCCTTTATATGAGGCACCAGAAGTTGTCTTTACTCCCCTTTCTTCGACCTGCTCCACATTCAGAGCCCTCCTTGAAAAAGGTGAACATAAGGATATTTTCCTTGGCCTGCAGCTTTGGGTGCTCTTGAGTGGCCATTTGTAAGACCAGAGAGCAGTCACATGGGGGGCGGGCAGGAACTTTTTGAACTATGTGCAGTTTTCAACACTTGGTCAAAATGTGCATAGGCGTTTTTTGGCATAGAAATAATTTGACAGATTAGGGAAGCACCGGGAGGGTAGTTACAGGCATGCATCCCATGGTGAATCCTGTCAAACAGAACAGTTACTTTGTCTATTGGCTACAATGTAGGGGTTGGCTTTAAAGTGCAACTCTAGTATAACTAGTATACTATTTATAGTATGCAGCAAACACTGCAGTTGTGCTAAATTCAGACCGTTTACTAAATTTACCTTAATCTGAGTTCTCTGTAATCCATTGCTTGTAGAAATTGTTCCTTATGTCTTACCTGTTTTTCTTCCTTTCCTGCGTCACATCTTCCTCTCTCTATCATGAGCAGGGGGTCTCAGATCACCAGGTTACTATCGGAATGGTGTGCAGTACAGCAATACCTGAATGATATCTGAAGTAGAATGTGAATAACAACTGTAAGCATCTCACCTGTGCAGTCATGGCAAGGAACTTTCATTATGTATCTGCTACGGTTCCACCTTGCAATGGAGGAAAAATCTGAAATGACCAGACCCCATGTTGGTCTATGGGGGATTCGGATTTAAATGGACATATGTGCAGGCGAACCATAGCCATACCACCAGCTAGCAGCGGGGAAGGGGTTTGCTTACAGCGAAACTGTATTAATAGCGGGGTGGGCAGAGGTGGCAGAACGCTCCGGGTAAATTCATTTTCTGCCAGTTTGTGAGAGTGGAATTACCCTTGGGGTCCATTCACACCACATCCAGATTGTTCCCAGACCCAAAATGCATCCTAATGTATCCCTATGCTATTTCTGGCCTCTGTTCACACCAGCGCAGTCCATACCAGACCAGAAAAATACTGCCTGTCCCATTTTTGTATGGTCTGGAATGCACTGGAACTGTGGGCAGGTTCACACCATTTTCCAGGCCAGATCTGGTCCGGAAAATGGTGTGAACCTGCCCTTAAAGTTACTTGCATTACGTTTAGGACACCTGCACGTTTTGGTAGGTTGCGCTAATGCATGTTAAAACACCACTGCTAAATGTGAATCCAGCCCAATGTTTTCTTTGATACTGACCCAATACAAGCATACAGATTAGAAAGTCCATGACATCAAAGCTTCTTATCTGTATACTTGTTTTAGGTCAGTCACTATTATATTAAATTTTAAAGCCATTGAGTCACCATGAAAGTCAGACAATTGGCATTTTCAGAAGGAGATTTCCACTATGGTAGCCTCTGGATTCTGCAAATACGAACTTTAGGGCCAATTCACACCAGCCACTGCGATAAATGCACAAAAGCTGATGTGCGTTGCCCAACACAGTGCAGAAACACTGATCCCAATTTACTTTTTGTTTTGTAGAACTTGTGACCTTTCATTCAGTTTTACAGGCACAGCGGGGTGGGAGGCGGTTGTTCCACGTCTCACCCTACAGCCCTGGAAAAAAGTACTGCATGCCATACTTTTCTTCAACACACACAACAGCGTTTCCGTCGCAACACGGTGGTGTGAACCGAGCCG